CAGCGCGTTCTCGAGGTACTGCTTGGACGAGATGGGCTTGCCGTTGTCCAGCAGCTGCAGCGTGAAGTCGCGCACGACCCACATGAAGCTCGGGAAGAACTCGTGCAGGCGGTCGGCGTTGCCCGCCGCGTCCTTGGCGGACGACGACGTCTGGATGTGCTTGGACAGGTTCACCACGAGCGACAGGTCCTCGATGGCGTTGCCGTCGATCACGCCGCGGCTGTTGTACACGAAGTTGGAGGCCAGCAGCAGCGCCAGCGCGAAGATGCGCGTGTCGTGCGTCTGCTCGCGGTCCACGCTGCCGAGGCCCTCCGTGTCGAGGAAGAGCACGCTGGTGTCGTCGTCCAGGGGGATGGGCTGCCCCCACATCCAGATGCCCTTGGTGCACGCGTTCACGGTGCCGCCCACGGCGAAGCCCGCGGCGCTGGATCCCGAGCTGCTGCTGCCCAGGGTGGCGCTGCTTTGGCTCTGCGCGTGGCGCACCAGCAGGTTGAGCAGGAAGCTCTTGCCCGTGCGGTACAGGCCCGCCACGGCCACCACCACGAGGCGCGTCTTGACCTTCTCCAGCACGGCGCACGCCTCCGGGTTCACGCGGAATCCGCCGTCGTCGTCCACCAGCACGAACGGCAGCGGCCGCACCGCCGACACGTCCTCCTCGCTCATGGCGCCCTTCTCGCACTTGGAGTTTGTATGCGCTCGCGCGAAGTGCACACCAAAGCGAACCCACGACGATACGCTGGTGTGGCGCACACGGATCCGAATATACCGACTTCCTCCGCTTATAGTGGACAGTGACAGGTACACTATGCCACCTGTCAAAAATGATATGCCGAATATGGCAACCGGCACCGGTACCAGTAGTCAATTTGCTGCCACTTTTATGCGCTTTGTTCACTTTCTTGGTGGTCATGCACAGCGCCGCTAGCCGCCTGAGCGCGCCTGTCGCGCTTGACACCTCGCGGCAGGCAACAAGCTGCCACTGCAAAGCCTTGAGTGGTACGCATCCGCGTGGGGCTAGTACCATGACAATGCTTCGCCCTGCCTCCAGGCCATTTTTAAGGTAAAGCATAACTTTTTCAAGTCTAACTCGGCAACATGTGCCATTGGTCGATGGGAGCTTCGTCGTGTACCGTAAGGAGGATGCAAGCAAACCACTCTCCGAGCGTTTGTATAGTACACGTGTGCCGCAACAGCGCTTAACACTAGCATAGGTAGTGGGTACTGGCAGCAACCGTGTCCAGGTAGCTCTAGGCTGCAGCACAGCTCCATCGCACCGGTATATTACCGGTGGAAACGTATCGAAATGATTTGTGTGGAACTTATAAGCGAAGTCGAGAAGTCCCTCCAAATCCTGTAATATGATTGGGTGCCCTTATATAAGATTGTCCACTACAAGCGGAGGAAGTCAGTACTGTTAAAAGTGCGTTCTTGGCACCAAATATTTTGACTGGCACCGAGCTCCGAGCGCATTCAACTAGATCAGCGATGGCGCCGCCGACGTTTGGAGCGACGTCCCGCCAGGGCAAGCGCGGCGCCGTGGGCAAGGCCAAGCATGGGCGCGGCACGACGGGCGTGGGAGCCAACCCGAGCCTGCGCAAGAAGTCGAAGCTCGTGGTCACGTTCGACCCGGACAAGCGCAAGTGCGTGGCAGGCAGCGATTGAACACGTTGATGTACTGGAGTGAATAGAACTAACGCTGCTGTTCATCTCGCTGCAGAGAGTACCTGACGGGCTTCCACAAGCGCAAGCAGGAGCGTCGCCGCTTCGGTTTGGACATGGAGGCGTACAAGGTGAAGAAGCGCCAGCTGGAGGCCAAGAAGCAGCGGCGCGAGGAGCAGAAGGAGAAGCTGGCGGCGCTCAACCTGCTGGATGATGAGAAGAAGGACGACGATGATGAAGACGAAGAAGATGACGACGACGACGAGCAGGGCAGCGACTCGGACGCCTCCGAGGACGAGAACAAGCCCGTGCTGGGCGGCGCCAAGGCCGTGACCAAGGTCATGACTTTCAACGACGACTTCACGCGGGGCAAGTACGGCGACGTGGTGACCGTCACCACGTCGGTGGGCGACTTGCAGAGCGACAGCGACGACAGCGGCAGCGACCTGGCGCCTTCGGACGACGAAGAGGATGACGCGGACAAGCCCAAGCACCCGGCCTTCCTCCGGAAGAAGAAGAAATTCGAGGAGCCGCACTTGACGCTCTTCCAGCGGATACAGCAGCAGCGCAAGGGCAAGGCGCTGCCGTCCAAGCGCTCCAAGCTCAAGGATGCGCGTGCGGCGCGCAAGGCTATGATGGGCAAGAAGGGCAACGGCGGCGCTGTCACGGGCAAGAAGCGCGGCGCCGACGACGGCGCTGCTGAAGGCTCTGCCGTTAGCAAACTCAACAAGAAGCTCAAGATGAAGCGCAGTCAGGGCGGCGCCAACAAGCGCCAAAAGAAACGGTAAGCTATCCGCATAGCTAGCATAGAGGTGAGCTCGCGAGTAACTTTCAGACTTCAACATACACATGCGTTCTCCATTGATTCTGTGTCTTCATTTTATTAGCTGATCACTTCATTGAATACTCGCGCCGATGCCTACCACACGACGCCGAGTGCTGAGTTACTTCCATACCTTAATGATCGCGTCGCGGCCGCTGGACACAAGCATGGGGCTCGGATTCTGGCTGCTGCCAAGCTCGACCAGCGTCAGGTCGAGGATGCAATCTGTGTGTGCCGGGGACGGAGGGACAAGGCCTCGCCGCTCCATACTGATAGCGGACTCCACGCCTCCCGCTCCTGATGCTGCCGCACCCGCGACGCCAGAATAGAGGGACGAGTCTTGGCAAACCGTAATGAGCGGCGCGCTGAGCTTGCTCCAGGCCATCTCAGGCTTTGTGACGGTAGCCGTGGTCGAGATGGGAGCTGCTGGCACCTTTTCGCCGTAGCGCTGCGGAGAACCTGCGGACGCCGCCGCCGTCGGGGTCATACGCCACCAGTCGTCAGGAGGTGCCTGGTTGTCGTAGAACGACTTGGCTTCCCCGTTGCCGCAGATTGTGTACGACTGCTTCCCGTTGCGGATATCCCAGTAGCGCAATTGCCGGTCTTCGCCACCCGTGATCAGAGCATCTCCAATGCCGCGTAGATGAAGTGATGGGCACAACATTGCGCGTACACTTGGCTCCTCACTGAGCGGAGATGTCGAGATCTCGTCAAATGCAGTCGCGATGCCGTAGATACCCAAAAAGCTTCCGAGTACGGTTCGACTGCGATGAGGAATCGGCACGTGGAGAAGTGTTGGACACCTGCAAGCCTCGGCTTCAGAGGCTTGAGCCTCCAACGTTCGGAACACTGCGCGGCACGCGCCAATGCTGAGATCAAACACTGCAACCTCACCGCCATCGGCTGCTACAAATACCAGAGGCACCGACGTCTCATCCAGCGGCAACGTGTTCGGTAATCCCAAGCAGGGCTGTAGTCGGTGAATGGCGCGGTGAGATGAATGGCGCCATATCCGGATAATCACCAAGAAGCGCAGATCCCACAGACACAAGAAGCCCCGGCTAGTGCCGACGGCGAGCCAGCTCACATCAAGCGAGTGCGTCATGCACGTAATGTAGCCGAGTTCGGGAGAAACGCTTAGAGACCAAGCCTCGCGCCGCATGCGCAGGTCCCACGCGTGGATATTGCCGTCACGCGTGGCGTACAGTAGCAGCGCCTCTGTCACATTATTCAAGTAGTCGATCGCCATGACAGCACTGTCGTTCGCCCGCAACTCCTTCAAACCACTAGCTTGCACGTTTCCACCCACAGAATTCACCTTGTCCACACGGAATACGTGCACCGTACCGTCACTTGAGGCCGAAGCAACGGAGTGGCTGTTGGTCAACACCTTCATGTCGGTGATCACTCCTCCCTGTCCGTCATACGTACAGCGAGACCCTTGGTTCACACTGTGCTGCAAGGATCGCACTGACCAAATCTTCACAGTCCCGTCGTTTGACGCAGAAGCCAAGAAGCTGTAGTCTTGAGCTGCATTTACGCGAGTCACAGCGCCGGAGTGCTCCGCGAGCTCAGCAACGAGTACATTCTTCCGCGGCTGCCAGTTTCGGTAAGAGCTGGGGTATCCGCCGCCACCACCAACTCCGTTAACACTGCTTGAGCTGCTTGAAGCTGTGCTGCCCACAGAGCCTCCAAAGCTTCCCGGCGTTACGCCTCCGTTTATCGCTGCAGCAGCTGCCGCTGCGGCATTAAAGGAAGCACCAGTCCCATTAGGCGGGTACGTACTGCTGCCAACCTGAATAGGGGACGAAGTGACGCTAGAAACATTAGCGCCTCCTCGGTCGCTGCCAGGTGCACCGCTGCTTCCCGTGATGCCGATGCCACCACCCACTAAGCAGTACGGACTCGGAGCGTGGCTGTAGATGGAGTAAGGTGAGCCGTCCGAAAGCCGCAGAGCACCAAGATCCGGTGGTAGCGGAGGAATGCCCAGCGCATTAAGCCGTGCCAACAGTTTGCGAGGGTTTCCTAGCGCAGGATCCATCGCTGACTCCTTGAAGGCAAAATAGTGGTGGTACGTCGTGTGTGCCTTCTTAACCATTCTCTGGCGAGGTGGTGACACAGGCGACGCGTGCACTGGGTGGTGGTGTGGGTCCAACAAACTGCTCATTCCATCGCCGCCGTACATATCGCGCATATTCATATTGAGCATGCTCACCATTACGCCACCGCTGGTTGGCGCGAAGTGATTCGAGTCCATTTGACCCAGACCCGAATCGTCCAGTGAGGATGACGCTGAACCAGGAGGAACCACAGATGAAGGACCCGTAACTGTAATGGGCGAAGCTGAGATCGGCGTGCTAGGCTCCACGAGACTGTACATCTTGCCAACATGTGATAGAGACAAACTTTCCAAAGATGGAGCCCCCGCCGACGACCCACCATTCGAGGCTGCCGGTGTTGCCGAGCCTCCGCGATGAGAAGGGGAACTGCCGGTTCCATGAGAGCGAGATCTTATAACCAGTGCAGTAGACGCGGAGGTAGCTGCCGCCGAGGTAGCACTGCTGGCCGCGGAAGATGATGACGAAATTCCGAAATTACTAGCCTTTCGAGGCTGCGCTGTCGAGAGTGCAAAGCGCATATCGGGTACGAACAGCACGCGAAGATGCGACCGCGACAGTTTGCGAGCAAACGGATTACTACTGCTCGCTGTGGTAGCACCGCTGCCGACAGTCACAGATGCGTTGGCAACCGAGCTGTGTGGTGATCCAACGCGATCGCTCTTTGGCGGTCCTTGCATGCGTGCGGCTTGCTCAGTTTTGGCCATTTCCAGCTTACTACGCATCTGCATCGACGCAATTGAGACGTATTGCTGCATAAGCTTCAGGGACTGGATCTCATTTTTGCGCCTTTCGTAGATCGAAGATACGCCGTCCTCCATAATATTCGAGAATGTCTCGGACGTCGATGAAGCGCCAGCTGGGCCGGATGATTGCTGCCGGTAGATGCTGTATCCATCCAAAGAATCCGTGCTTAGCAAAGCATCGCGGTTTTTACGACCCCTTGTCATGTCAATATATGGTTCCTCCAGTGACTCTCGCGAAGTAGTCGTCATGGCAGCCAGTGGTGCAGGTGGGCCCATGTCGTCATCACTATCATCAGGCACTTGAGAAACAGACCGTTCCATTTCAGCGATGACTTCGTTAAGACCAGACGATGACGAAGACGCCAACAGTGCACGATCAAACGTCTCTCGCGACACATGAAGTCGGCAACACCCACGCAATCGCCGAGTTACCTCGGACACCTCCTCGTCTGGCAAAAAGACCATCGTCTTGCGCAAAAATGGACGGAGCAACGGGCTCAAGAAAACGTTGGCGTCGACACTGCGCAATTGTCGCGAAATCTCTCCCATAAGCTTGAGGACGGCATCGCGAATCCACCAACTCGGATGCAGCAGCAGGGAGCACGTCATGCGAGCCTTCTCCACCAATGTGCTGATCTTCTTCTGGAAGAGGCCAAGTTGACACAAGCCGGTGAGGCACTCAACGGCCTTCGTGATAACGATCTCTTGGACATCAAACAGTGCCTGCTCGATGCATGGTAGAATGTTGTGCTCGACAGCCACGCGGCCAACAAACGAGCACACACCCACGATATAGTCGAAGAATGCGCCACGCAGTTCCCAGTCTGGATCATTCAAGAACGTAATGAGCTGAGGAAGCACGACATCGAGAGTGCGCTCACGACCGAAGAAAACACACAGTCTGGTGATATCAACGAGAAGCGCGCGCTTGACGAGAGAGGATGAAGCCTTTTGGTCCGGCGTCGTAAGCTGGATCACAAAGCGCGAAATCATCTTGTGAAGCACGCTCAACTCCTTATCAAAGCTGCTTGATGCCAGGTACAATGGATTGAGATTGGAAGATTCAGTACCGCGGGTAGACAGCGACGCGGCTGATCCCGACGATGTCATTGTCTTCTGCTTCATGGCATGCGCGATTTCCAAAAAGCGCCGGCTGGTCTCCGCTAATTGAGGCAAGCACTCAGCGAATGTGATACGCACCAACTCATCGGGATCGGATTGAAACGGGACCATAGCAGGCAGCACATACTGCGGAAACACAGAGGCGTCGGCTAGAGGGAAAGACTCCACCAGAGATAGCAGGTACGTAATGGTGCGGAGTGCCAAGGCGCGGACAGTGGCACTGGGGTCATCAATAACCTCGAGAAGATACGGGATCAGACGCTGCAATCGCGCTTCATCACTCGTGAACTGACCCAGTGAACGGATCAGGTACAGCGCCGTGAGCTTCGATTCGGGCACTTGCACATGTCGTAGACTTGAGCAAATTAGCGAAAGGATAATAACAATACCGTTCCGGTCTTGTGGCCACGGCTCACTACCACACGTTGGCGGCTTCATCCGTCGTGAATTGTTCGAGTGGGGAGGGGGTGTGGAAATATTAGATCTTGAGTCAAACTTGCCCAGCCCATCACCATCCTTCGACTCAGCATCCTCTGCTTCTTCATCCAAGCGGCCAGCGGATGGTTCACGATAATCGAGAAGCAGCGAGTTTTTCTTCTTCTGCGCAAGCGCGTTGAACTGGTCGTGGAGCTTTTCGATTTTCTTCTTCTGCGCGGTGCTGCTGAGACTGCGCATGTCGTTCTCCTTGTCTTTCAACTTTTGAACTTTCGTGAGTGCCCCATTCTCCCGCTCAGCCTTTTGTTTCTCCTGCTTGGTTGGGATTTTCTGATCCAGCTCCTCCAGTACCCGCTGTGCCACGTGCGCTTGTTGCTCTCCTGTGGCAGTTGCTAATCGGTCCGATCCATAGCCTTCCTTGAGGCGTAACTTAAAGAACTCCTCACCCTCGGGGTCCTCAACACCAGCCACCTCGCGTACCAAACGTCCATAGTACTTGCACACCAGCCGGATACGTGCATCAGGCACTTTTCCTCCACGACTAAGCACCAGCACCAGAAACCTGAACAGGAAATTGTCGAAGTATGTCGGGAACAATCCACTTGGACTGGTGTACTTGGCGAGATAGCCACTAGCCGAAAGTCGAGCGCTCGGGTCCAGCTGCAGCATGTGCAGCAGCAGTTCTTCAAGTCTGGGGTCACCGACCTTCTTTAGCTGCTGTCGCAGCGCTTCCGAATCACCAGTGCGGTACTTAAGCAGCGACGGCAAGTCGAATAGAGGCTTACCACCTAAAAACAGTTCCGCAATAACGCATCCAGCCGAGAAGATATCCATCGACTCCAGCAAGTTGCCTTCGCGGCGCGAACGCGAGTACGACGACGGCGCGCTGCCAATCGACGTACCAGAGGGTGGCGTCTGCATGGGGTTGCCCGACATGATAGCGCTGCCCATGCCCATAGCTAAAATCTGCTTGTCCACCTCCTCCACCGTAACTTCACTGTCTGCCATCTTGGAGAGCATCATAGCCGCGTCCGGCGTCTTCATCGAGTTCAACCCAACACTGCCGGGCGTCGAGCCCGTGGCCACGCCCATTGACGCAGATCCCTTACCGTAAAACCTCTCAGGAGCCACGCTACATCCTCGTCGCGTCGCGTCAATAGCACAAAAGTAGTAGTTGTAGTCTGCCGGGTCGTCCTCGGGGATGTACGTGGGCTTGAAGGGCGCGAAGTCCGTGAGGAAGACCCAGTTCCAGCTCGTCACCATGACGTTCTCCTGCTTGATGTCTCCGTGACAGATGCCCTTGGCGTGGCTCTGCTCCAGCGCGCGCAGGATCTGGAAGGCGATCCACTTCTTCTCCACCATCGTCAGGAACGGCCGCGAGCAGATGCGGTCGTACAGGTTGGACGCGAAGTACTGCCGCACCATGAAGGCCACGTTGTACTTGTTGGACAGCTGGAAGTCGGCGTACGGGATCACGTTGGGCTGCTGCTCCACGGAGAAGGCCAGCGCCAGGCGGCGCAGCGCCACCTCGGCGCTCGTGAGCGACTCCCTCTCGTCATATTTGCGGTAGATTTTCACCACCAGATGCCCTTCGTCGCACTTGCACGAGATGCTCTTGAGGAACTTGCCGTCGCCGATCAGATTGCCGAACATCATGTCCATCGAGCGCGGCGTGTAGTCCATTAGGAAGGTGCGGTACTGCGACGCGCTGTCCAGCACGCTCTGCGGCTGCGCGCGCGGCGCGGCGTTGCCCATGCTGGTCGAAAGGGGGCGAGCGACACACCGATGGAGAGCCTGTTGATTCCTCTACGCGGTGAGGTGTCTGCGGGGCGATAGAGCGCTCTGGGAGACGAGTAGTGGGGCTTCGACCGCAGGCTTAGGGGGCACACGCGATGGCTTCCGCGATCGGTTTTTCTCCCTTGTCGCCAGTCGTGAAGTGGTGCGACTAAGTACGAGGAGAAAGTAGGTTCAGTCGTAACACTGTTCAGCCAATCACAGGGCAGCTTGAGCAGGAGTGTTGGTCTTATAGTTGCCTTTTTTTCGCTGCGAATGGATACCTCTGAGCCCTGCAGGGCACTTTAATCGTGTTGCACAGCTGCATCAGCAGAGATGCATCCAGTCTGCAGTGCAGCGGCGCATAACGCTGAGCTACATGTAGTGGCTTTCGCTAATCGCATCAAGGCATAACGTTCAAACAAGCATAGCAATAGTGTATTAGAAAGGATTCGTCTCCTCCCGCGCTCGCGCCCTCTAGAACCTCCTCACTCTGCTGTATTCGACGACTCTCCTAACTGCTTCGGTGGGTTCCTGCCGCTCGCGCTGTCCAAGACATATCGCTTAGCTGTAGAGGTCCTCCTCGTCCTCGTCGGCGGCAGCATCGGTGGCGCCGCCTGCAGCGCCAGCGTTCACGTTGCGGCCCGGGAACGAGAAGTTGGCCAGCGAAGTGCCGCCGGCCGTGACGTGCGAACGTGCCTGCTGCAGCGTCTGTGCGAAGGTCGAGTACTGCGCCAGGTCGCGGTCGCTGACCGAGCGGCGCGCGTTGCGCACGGCCTCCTCGAAGTGGCGCGGCGTAATCTCTGGCACCGGGTCCTCCTCCTCGATATCCTCCATCTCGTCACCGGCCTCGGCACGGAGACGGTCACGCTCCATGTCACGGGCGATGCTCTCGCGAATGGCCAGCTTGGCGGCGCGCTGGCAGATTTCCGTAAGATCGGCACCCGAGAACTTGTCCGTCTGCTGCGCCAGGAAGTTCAGATCCACCTCCTTGGACACAGGGCTCTTGCGCAGCACAGAGCGCAAGATGCTAAGACGCGACTCGAAGTCAGGCATGGGGATGAAGATAAGCTGGTCCAGACGGCCCGGACGCATAAGGGCCGGGTCGATGATGTCGGGACGGTTCGTGGCACCGATAATGAACACGTTCTTCTTGGCACCCATACCATCCATCTCCGTCAGAAGCTGGTTCATCACACGGTCACCAGCGCCACCGGCGTCGCCCGAGCTGCTGCCACGCTGCTGAGCGATAGAGTCCAGCTCATCGAAGAACAGCACACACGGAGCGGCACCACGAGCCTTGTCGAACACTTCACGCACGTTGGCCTCCGACTCACCGAACCACATCGTCAGCAGCTCAGGGCCCTTAATCGAGATGAAGTTAGCCTGGCACTCGTTGGCCACAGCCTTGGCCAGCAGTGTCTTACCGCAACCGGGCGGGCCGTAGAAAAGAACACCCTTGGACGGGCTGAGACCGTATTTCTCGAACTTCTCCGGATGCTCCACGGGGTACTGCACCAGCTCGAGCAGCTCGCGCTTGACGCTCTCCAGGCCACCGATGTCCTTCCACGTGACCGTGGGGACCTCCACCGTGGTCTCACGCAGCGAAGATGGGTTGGACACACCGAGGGCGTACTTGAAGTGAGCCTGCGTGACAGCCATGGCGTCCAGGATCTCAGCGTCAATGGTCTCATCCTCAATGTCAATCACATCCATCTTCTCACGGATGCACTGCAGCGCAGCCTCGGTACACAGGGCTGCCATATCGGCACCAACGAAACCCTGCGTGTCACGTGCAATGAGCTCCGGGTCCACGTCGTCGTCCAGCTTCATGTTACGCGTGTGGATACGGAAGATCTCGAGACGGCCATTCTCGTCGGGCACACCAATGTCGATTTCGCGGTCGAAACGGCCAAAACGACGCAGAGCGGGGTCCATGCTGTTAGGGCGGTTGGTTGCACCGATCACCACCACGCTGGCACGCTGCTTCAGGCCGTCCATGAGCGTAAGCAGCTGCGACACGATACGACGCTCCACCTCGCCGTTTGTCTTCTCACGCTTGGGCGCAATCGAATCAATCTCATCAATGAAGATAATAGCCGGCGCGTTCTTCTCAGCCTCCTCGAAAGCCTTACGCAGATTGCTCTCCGACTCACCAGCCATCTTCGACATGATCTCGGGACCGTTGATCAGGAAGAAGAAGGCGCCCGTCTCGTTGGCGACAGCACGGGCGATAAGCGTCTTACCCGAACCGGGCGGGCCATACAGCAGCACACCACGAGGGGGCTTGACACCCAGCGTCTTGAACAGGGTCGGGTGACGCAGGGGCAGCTCGATCATTTCACGGATCTGAGCCATCTGGCGACGGCATCCACCGATGTCGTCGTAGCCGACCTCGTCCATCTTCTCCTCGTCCTCGCGGCGCACGGGCTCACCCTCGCAGTGGATGATAGTGTCGGGCGCCACAATACAGTACGGAGCGGGCTCAGTCTCCACAACCTTGAACTCCACGGGGTGCATGGCCTGACGCACGAGGAACAGGTCACCCTTCTTGACGGGGCGGTAGGCCTCCACGAAGTACGGCTTCAGGTACACGTCGAACAGGTTGCCCGTCACGCCCTCGATGGTGTCGTCGATGGGCAGCACGTGGATGCGCTTGCCGTAGGGCACGTCGCCGCACGTGTGGATGCCCACGACGTCGCCCAGACGCACGCGCAGGTTCTTGCGCACCACCTTGTTCATGCGCACGTTGTTGTCGTCCACCGTCTCGTCCTGGAGCACCACGCACACCGTGTCGTGGCCCTTCTTGCCCTTGATGAGCACCGTGTCGCCGCGGAACAGCTGCAGCTCCTCCATCTTGGCCATGCTCAGGGCGATCACCGAGTTGTCGTCGTTCGTGGCTTCGTCCACCACGAGGCGGTTGGGCGACCGCTTGCGGTCCATGATGCCGGCCTTGAACTCTTCCTTCCTGTGGTGGGGGAAGACACACATGCACACGTAAATGTCAGTCAATGGATGGCTACACGGCGTTTAACAGCGCCAGTGACGTACTTGTCACTCATGTTTCAAGTGTTTCTGTTGCTGTCTTTGGTCTCCGCCGGGTGCCGAATCAAAGCAAGCTGCAGTAATAAAGCACAGTAAACCTAAGTCAGTTTCCTGCATGCGTCTTGGTAGTAAGAGCCTGCGAGCCCTTGGATCTTGCTGCTGGCTCCTCCCCCCTCCTGCTTCGTCGTTTGGACCAGTTTGGCTACAGGACTTCCGCGTACTCAAGAGGAAGAAGAAGAAGGCAGACTTGGACCGAGCAGGTAGCTGTAGCTGAAGCCAGGGATGGCCGAGCGCCCTTACCTCGAGATGGTGCTTGTGACTGTTCTTCCGCGGAAATGGAGCTTGGAAATCCTGAGGGGGAGAAGATATGCTTGAAGCTACACGATTGGCTGAAATGATGCATAATCAATCCAGAATATTCCCGTCCGTGACTTGGAGTTTGTATGGAGGAGTACTTAATCGAGAGGGCTCAACTTTATCGGGAGAACCACGATGACGTGGACACTGAACGAAGGCAACTTGCTTATTAGATCAAAAACTAGAATGCATGCTTGAAGCTGTGGGTGAAGGTCTTGAGCTGCCTGCGTAGCTAGCTCTTCCACTTGGGTGTCTTAGTCGCGACGGCTGTTGCGCGGCGACTTGCCGCCCTTCTTGTTCTGGAGCAGCGCGATGAGAATGCGCACGAAGATGGACATCAGGTCTGCGCACAGCAACAACGAAAGGAACAACATGAAAACTGTTAGCAAATCATCAGCACAAGCAAGTCCTCCACAATGGAGACACACACCCATGAAGAGGCCGAGCGTGTGGGCCAGCACGTCCTTGTCGCCCATGCTGGCCTTCTCGATGATCATCTGCGTGTCGAACACCACGTACCCGCAGAACATGAAGAGTCCGCCGTACTGCAGCACAGGAAACACGTACACAACGAAACAACAAGTTAGCTCAGCACGTCGACATCCTTCAGTGCGTTGCTCCTACCAGGTTCATGTTGAACAGGAACGACGAGTGGGTGAAGATGTTGAGGACGCTGGTCATGAACAGGAGCGACAGCGCCGAGCTCAGAATGCCACCGAGGTACAGGTACGCGCGGCGGGTAGCTGCAGCAGAAAAAAATAATAATTTACCATAACAATGCCAACTCGTCAGCTTGCTCCCGCAGCAATTAGCATTACAAAACCATCCTGGTATCGCACCGATCAGGGCGCTTCCAGTGAAGCACAGGAACACCAGCGTCGTCAGAAGCCTGTCAAGAAATAAACACAACCACACATTAGTATAAACCTACTTTATCCGCCAGCAACTAGAGAAACGAGGCTCTTACAGGGCCGAGACGAGGATGCTGGGGTCCACCTGGACGGCGACAGCGACGAGCGTCGAGACGCTGAGCCCCATGGCGGCCGAGATCATCATGAGGATGCCGAAGCGCCGGTTGTAGTTCTGCACGGGCTCCATGTAGAGCCAGATGGAGCCCATCGTGGTCACGAACGACGAGCCCATGAAGGACCAGCGCTCCGGGCCGAAGTACAGCGTGCAGCCCGCGCTCAGCATGGCGGCCAGCACGCAGGCGGACAGCGTCGCGTACACGCGCACGAGGTGCTGCTGCACGTCCTCCGTGATGCCGCTGGTCTTCATCATCGTCGCCATGTTCCACGACGACGTCGCGGGGGCCACGCGGGTTCCGAACATGTTCATTCCTGGGCTTGGGCTCTTTTGTATCGCGCTTCTTCTTTTGAGATTTGACTCGGAACTGGCAGATTGTATTTTGTAGCCAGCTGGCACTGCGGGAAATAGCAATACGGACAAGAACCAAAACCCCGACAACACTTTTAGCTTGTCATATTTCACGCACGGAGGCACACGGAAGCTACTTGCGAGTTGGTTTGGTCCCTAGCTACTATTTTGCTGCATGACGGAAACTAACCTGTATCACTTGCGCCGGGACTTGGAGCCTGCTCAAGTGGCACGCATGGAATTTGTCAGCGAAAATTGAAACTAAAAAAAAATCTTCCAACGTTGAAGTTGCATTGTTAGCCCCTACCTGAGACGTCTGCGTACGCCGCGGAGCTGCCCACGATCTTCTTAGTTCGCGCAGACGGTATACCTTTCTTCAGCGTCACGTTGGCCACGATCTTTCGGCTCTTGGCGTCTTGATATGATGACCGATTTGTGCTGGCTCCGGTCGAGAGTACGCTTTTAGATGGCTTTGATGAAGTCCCCGAGTACAGCGATCCCCCGCCTTGGCTCCCCTCACTAGCCTTGTTATTGTTGCCATTCTTGCTTCCATAAGAATACTTGTTCGCCTTGCTCTTTGTTATGCTTCCCAAGCCTCGCCCGCCCGCTGCGTTGTTGATAGGCGGCAACTCGTCCTCGCTCGCATCATAGGCGCTGTAGTCCTTCGTGTCGCTAGAAGCCTGCATACCATGAGATCTAAAGCAGATAGCAAGCGATACGAACCCGTTAGTTTGATGTCGAGTGAGCTTCTTGTTCGCACGGAGCAACGTACCCATTCTGGATTGAAGGTAGCGGAACTTTGTCGTCGCTGTCGTTGCCCTTCCGCTGCTTGTAAGTCATAGGTAATCCTATTGACGGCTGCTGTTGAGGCTGAAGTACATGCTGTTGTTGCTGCTGCTGCTGAGCTCGTAACGTTGCTTCCTCTAGCTCACGGATTTCGCGAAAGTATTCATGTCTTAATGCCTCGCGCGCGTTCATTCGCTTGCTTGGTTCGTACGCCAGCATTTTGTGCATAAGATCGATTGCAGCGGGCGATGCGTGGGGAATTAGCTTGGCAATGCTGGTACCGTCCTCCTTGGGGAAATTGAAATCGATGTGGGCAGCTCCCTTGCGCTTAAAAATCTCTAGTACTTCCGGCGGCGGCGTGCCTAGGATTTTGTGTATGCGGTGGATCTGGTCAAGCTCGTTTGATCCTGGGAAGAGCGGGTAAAGCGATGTGATCTCGAAGAATACACAGCCGACGCCCCACATATCCATTTCAGGTCCGTAGTAGCCATCTGTGAGTAAACACTCGGGTGCGCGATACCATCTCGTGGAAATGTACTCAGTGTACGGCTGCTTGGAATAAATACCTCGACAGGAGCCGAAATCTGCCAGCTTGAGTTTGCTATTGTCCTCCACCAGAATGTTCTCCGGTTTGATGTCGCGATGGAAGATGCCCTTGTTGTGCATGTGGTCCAGCGACTTGACGAGCTGGTACATGAGCGACTGCACGAGGTCGGGCTTGAGGTAGTGGCGCCGACCGCGAATCATTTCATACAGGTTGGCGTCCATCAGCTCGAACACAAGCGCCAGTCGACCGGATGGCTGGTCGTACAGCACCTCCTCCAGCTTGACAATGTGCTGGTGCGGCGACAGTCTTCGCAGGGCCTGGATCTCGCGCAGATTGTTCACCTGGTCGATGCTCTCGAAGTGGTTCTTCATGCACTTGATGGCGTGGAACTTGCTGTCCTTGACATTCTGCGCCTTGAGCACCTCGGAGAAGGTGCCCTCGCCCTTCTTGGCCACTAACCGGTACTTCCGCATGGCTGCTGCTGACTGCGTGGAGGTGTGAGCTGAGCCGCCTCCGTCGCTGCGAGCTCGGAAGACCTCGGCGCCACCTCGATGCGCTTTGAGACGGCAGCCACCACGCTGTCTAAATACCGAGACTGATGCAACTGCGTTTATATTTACCAGCGGCATCCATCATGCACAGCGCGTGAGCTGGGCGGAGACTGCACTGCAGCAAAGGCAAGTTGAACCAAAAATAAAGATGGCTACACATTACCTCCAAAACACGGTTGTACCTGTGCCATAACAAGGTACACTGTTCAGACAACTTCTACATCAAACACACCATACTTTAATCAAGTCAAGTGACAACTTAAACGAGGTGTTGGCTGATTTTACAGACTCAAGTCATTGGTCGACGCGCTCAGAATTCCATCCGTCCGGGACCGTCACCATGTCGGAGCTCTACGAGAACAAAGTATGCCTCTCGCCCATGGTTCGCTCGGTACGTGACCTTCTGCACCTGCACCGTATTGACCACGAGTTTGCACTTCCATTGCACCGGGTCCCACCGCCCACCTCGCTCTAACCATGGAGTTCTGTCGCTGTAATGCAGGGCACTCTGCCGCTGCGTCTGCTGTCGCTGCGCTACGGCGCCGACCTCGTCTACGGCGAGGAGATCGTCGACAAGCGCATCATCTCTGCGGTGCGCGTCCCTAACGGTATGAGATTGCGCACCGATTCGATTCGCAGCGTTCCACCTACTGCTGTGTCAATCGTTCGGGGCTGCTTTCGAGGATGAATGGCAATGGGCTCGTTCTGACACTTTGCAATGCCTTTGCTCTAATTAATGCAGACGTCGTGAACGCCGTGGACTTCGTCAGTCGCAACGGCGACTCGGTGGTGTTCCGTACGTGCCCGGAGGAGGCGGGCAAGGTCGTCTTCCAGATCGGAACGGCCGATGCAGTGCTGGCGCTCAAGGCGGCGGAGGCGGTGTACGTTCATCGCACTTTTGAGTGATACTTGGAAAAGTTCTGACGTGGTTTCTGTTCTACAATGTTGAATTTACTGGGTCTTGCAGTGCCCGTGATGTTGCCGCTGTGGATATTAACATGGGTTGCCCCAAGCACTTTTCGGTCCAGGGTGGCATGGGCGCGGCGCTACTGCGGAAGCCTGAAGTGGCTTGCGATGTAAGACCTCGAATGTACACCCGATTATCTTCTAAGCTAACGCGAGCTGCTGGTGTGTAGATCATCAAAACCCTGCGCCGCAACCTGAACATCCCGGTATCGTGCAAAATTCGCCTACTCCCAGAGATTCAAGACACGGTATGATATTTACACTTTATCTTCACCACCTCCCTGAGGCTAATATTTTTCCATTGAACAGATCGATACTGCCAAGCGACTCGAAGATGCTGGAGCATGTGCAGTTGGCGTTCACTTGCGCCAGATCCACGAGCGACCCCACAACAAAGCAAGCTGGGACAGGCTGGCGCCCGTTGTGTCTGCTCTCTCTGTTCCTGTGCTCGCAAATGGCGATGTGTTTGAGCATGAAGACATCGATAAGCTTCGCAAAATTTCTGGCGCGTCTTCCTTCCTCATCGCTCGCGGTGCCCTCGCTAACCCGTCAATCTTCCGGAAGGAAGGCCGTTTGCCCATCGACCAAGTGGTGAAAGACTACCTGAAGGCTGCAGCTGAGACGGACAATGTGTACCAGAACACCAAGTACAACGTCATGCGCATGATCCCGAGCTCGCTCGAAGACGCGTTCGCAAGCGGCAACAAGTACGGGTACGCCAAGGGCGCGCATGTCGTTACTGTACCCGAGCTCGCGGCCATGAGGAACGGACTGCAGATGTATTCGCTCTGGGACCTCCAGAAGTACTACAATCAGTGCCAGGACCAGTTCCGAGCGAAGGCTGCGGCACTGGAGAAGTCTGCACAGTCTCAAGAGCTGGACTCGGAAACTCTGGCGACCCTCCCGGGCGCTCAGGATCGGTATGCTGAGTCGCTTCAGTCAGCGGAAGCCGAGAAACCGAAGGCTCGGAACAACCGCGCTGGCAAGCCCGAGCTGTTCTGCGAGACTTGCAAGATCCAGTTGCTCAGTGACCAAGACGTGAAGCTCCACTACAAGGGCCGAAAGCACAAGAACGTGCTGCGCCGCCAGACGGCCACGACTATCTCCAAGTTCGTTGCAAAAGCGCAGATTGAGCAACCTGTCGCCGCCGCTCAGACGACAAGCGCTCCCGTTAGCAACAGTGATGAGAGCAGCAAGACATCGCCGAAAGAACGCGAGCACGAAGGCGAGGACACGCGAGACTCGAAACGCGTGAAGCTTGGCAGCGAGACTTCAGCTGATCTTACCAAGGACAAAGTTGCGGAAAACAACACTGAAGCATCCGCTTCGCCCACGGAGCCCTGAAAGCGCTAACTCAATGAATACGCGGCACGTCAACAGTTATTTGGTTACGAGAAAAGATCACTCAATTCGCGGCCAATATGTTTTGCTGGTAACTTCATGCCATTAGTTTCTCGACAGGCGCCTCGCGTTGAACTCGTCCTGGATCTCCTGCATCGTTTTCCCGGATGTGTCTGGCACGACAGTGTACACGAAGAGGAACGACAGCGCAACAGTGCACATGAAGGGTGTGAAGCTGAAGTTGACCAGGGCCGCCGCTATGTAGGGATAGCCGAGACCCACCGCAAGGTTGGACAACCAGCTATAGCCGACGCATATTGAGTTGCCCATAGCTCGCACGTCGTCCGGGAAGAGATCGGCCATGACGACCCACGCAAGTGAACCAAGGCTTGAACCGAATGTCGTCACGTAGCAGGCCGTGAACACAATGGCTAACGTTGGCAGACTAGCGACGAGCGACACTGTGATGCCGACCGCACTGAAAAACATTCCCGCTAGCCCATACAGCATGAGTTTGCGGTTACCCAGGCGAGTAGCTAGCATCCCGCAGAACATTGTTGGTAGTACATTGACGAAGTTGACAGCCACGATACCGACGCGATCATCCGAGATGCCAGCCTGCTCGAAGAGCGTGGACGAGTAGAAGAACACGGCATTGATACCCGTGAGCTGCTGGGCTCCGGCCACCCCGATGGCTGTCAGCAGTTGCCGAATGAGCATGGGTGAGAACAGTTTGGCGAAGGTGCAAGGCTTGGGCGCTTCCAAAGTGGTTGTGGCTTGAAGTGGTGGGGCGGGTTGGTCTTGTTTTATCCACGTTCTTGCGAGGTAAACATTATCTTCGCCATACAGACGCGCCAACTCCCGTTCTGCGAGCTGTTGCTGCCCCACCATCATCAACCAGGCAGGGCTTTCCACAATCACGAAAGGTGCTAGAGCCAAGAACAGCAACGCCAGCACGATAGAGAACCCCGCGATGTAGCGCCAACCGCTGCTTGTGTCAGCGAAGAAGAAGGTGATGGCTACGAGCAAGTTGCCGACAGTGATTGCGATCTGGAAGCCCACGCCGAGACTGTTGCGGAGATTTGGCGGCGAGATCTCGCTGATGAATCCGGGAATGACAGCGGTGGCTCCACCCGATGCAACCCCCGAGACCACTCGTCCACCGATGAACATCCAGATGCTCGATGCGCTGGTTTGCACCAAGGCGCCGATGATCATGAATAGGCAGTTGGTCATCATGATTCGCTTGCGCCCGAACGTGTTGGAGAACCGCCCACATACGAGAGCTCCGATCATTCCACCGAAGATCCAGGCACTGACGGCGATAGTCCACTGCGCCTTGGTGTGTCCAGGGAACATGAGGCAAGTGCCGGGGGCGACGGGTCTAGCGTCGCAGTCATCCTCGTCATTGAACGTCGTCAGGTTCAATTGCGTGGTGGACCACCCGTACTGCAGAGGCTGCAGCAGCGACACCAACACGTTGGCGTAGAGCACCAAACGAGGTCGAACCGGAGCGTGCATATTCGGTATCGGTGAGGGTGCGACTTTCGGCGTCAGCACCACCCGAACGTAGTCGCTGGTGCTGCTCGGCGATGGTGAAGGCCCTTCCATGCTTCTTCTTCTTCTTCTCGGCCGGCTTGTTGGTTGCTTGGCGGATTGGAGAGTGACCGACTTGGTTCGAGAGATTTTTGGCCGGGGCTTTCATGAAGCGGCTCGTTTCTTTGGTGTGTAGTCAAGCGCTCGGATTTGTGTAGCCTAGCGTATGCGAAGCCCAGACAGCGCAGCCGCATTCGATGCGGAAGGGTCGATTCGACCGTCATGTTGCAGTTATCGCGCTGTTCCGGCATCGATTATTAGAGTCGTGTATCGTGATGCGGCGGTACTTTCAAAAAGTAATCGGGTGGAGACAAGAGCCCCCAGCACACGACCGAAAGTTGACTGGACGCAACAGTCGCAATAGAAAGGGAGGATGAGCACTAAAACACGTAACAACTTCAAACGCGTTCAGGCGCTGTGAACTCGCCCCATACCTCGCAGAACTGAATGCCATCATAGCCGGCGGTTTGTTTTCCAGGGCAATGCAAGGTTTTGTTTTTGGTACAACTCACAGCAACGTGAAGCTCCCAAATCTGAAGGAGGTGCGCCATCAACTCGCAAATTGTCTTGTTTACTAGTTCCGGACCACGATATTACATTCCGAGTATGTGTCATCGCGTAACAAAACTTCAGCTACCTGAGTTTGTTGGAACAGATACACCAATACCCTTACGCCGTCTTTGGTTTGGAAGGCAAAATGCTAGTATTTTGATACAAAGAGAGCGTGCAACCGGGTTTGCCAAATTAGAAAGGCTGGCCCCGGCTTGTTTGACTACGTTTGGAGATGGAGGGCAGCTGCAGCTATGGTCACTTGCACGCCGTTTCGTGGCACGCCAATGGTGTCTGCACGGCATGCTTCCGTAGAAATGGAATTTGCTTCCGGCTGCGTCGCCTGTCGTGGTCGTCTTGATCGATGGCAGAGGGAGTTGACGATGCTCTAGGGCCTGCTCCGCAACACCGCTGTTTGAAAACAGTAGAATGGTCTTTCCGCTGAAAAGAGGCAATCCGCAGTTTTGAGGATTCCGCTGGAAGCGTTTGCGGAACACACGGATTTCAATGCGCCAGACGCTAAATGGTACTGCAGAACATTGTTGCTGGTGCAGTTATAAGCGAAGCAAGTGGATAAATGTTTGAAAGAGGAGCTGCCGCGGGGGCGCTCGTTTGTTCCCGGACCACCCCAACATTTTGTCGTGGCAACGACGGCATAACCCAGCTCGTGGCCTCCTGTGGCGCGCTGGCAAAGTTGACGCTCCTTTAGTAGGGTAACGAGGCGCCGCCAAGGAGGTCCAGGTCACGTCGGCCGCAGCAGCCCTTGATGACCCCTTCCGTAGGCTAGCACCTCCGTACATTGCTAAGCTTCTTCTTCACCGTTGCCACCTCCGACTGAGTCGGCGACTCAACTGGGTCGATATGTCTACGCTGGCGTTGGCAGAGCAGTACTTGGCCAGGACTTTAACTACTGCGAGGTGACCCACCAGCGCACAGCAGACGCGAAGGCGCGGCGTCGGTTGCCCATCGCGACATTCGCATCCAGCCCCGCGGCGTAGAGTAGCGCCGACGCTGTGCAGCCTTCGTGGCGGTTTGCGTGTAGCCACCGACTGGGGCACCTCGCCACACTACAGAGCGGTCTCCCGCACTGACGGCGCTGCCACCTCAAACTAAGCGCCACCGCGCTGTTGGTCTCGACCGGTGCGCTTATGCCACGGTAGTGAACAAAAGCTCGAGCGAGCAATATGTGCTATTACAGGCACCAGGGGCTCAATCCGCTAGATCCCCCCCCCCCCCCCTACGCCCAAATTCGGGCGTTTAGCGGGTTTGGCGAATGCCGATCGCAAAAAGGTCAAACAGTAGTCATCCAACAAGTTACGCCAGCTCTATTATAGCTGGGCTCTTAAGCTAGTAACATATGTTTTGAAGTCTGGTGTGGTTTATCAAGTATCCTTCATTAACGTAGCGTTTGCCTGACATTAACTTCAACTTCGTGCACACATTTTCCAGTACATAGGTAGTACCTAACTTGGAATCTATAAAACACTTCTTTAAGTGTATTAAAATACACAACAACACAGTCGATGATCTTACACACGAAAAGTGTTCAGGTGCGCATGCTCGAACAACGTGTTCGAATCAATCGGCACACCCCTCAGATGCGCGACCATGTGTGTGGCTGTTTCCGGAAAGAGTACCCATTAACAAGGAGCAGATACACCAGCAGCGTGGCAAAAGCTTGGTAGTCAAACGATACGTAGATTTACTTAACAATAAAACATGGGTAACGCTACGGGTTTGCGCGGATCAAGCGCAGCGAGTGCACATACGGCCTTGATCACGCGAAACAGTCAATAACACGGTACATCGATCTTCTTCAGACTGGAGGCGGCTGGTGGCCCACCAGTGGTGGGTCGGTCGATCGATTGATCGATCGATCGATCGATCGACCGGTTGGTGGGTGTGCCGACGCAACTTACTCCGAGCGCAGCTTGCGGTACTGGGTCGCCGCACCAGCATTCGCCCTGGCGCTTGCGCTCGCACTCGCGGAGGCGCCAGCACCAGCGTTTGCTGCACCAGCAGCACCAGCGTTGCCCACGGCGCCGCCATTGTAGCCATTGTAGACGCCAACGTTGTTGTAGCCATTGTAGCCGACGCCCACGCCACCCACACCGACGCCTACACCGCCGAGCCCGACGCCCACACCACCGACGCCGACGCCAACGCCACCCAGGCCCACACCAACGCCGTGTCCGTAGTATCCGGCAGGGTAGCCGTAGAGGCCAACGCCGAGATGTCCAAACGTCTGGGCAGCTTGTTGCTCCGCGTGCACGCCGCTCGAGAGTGCCGCGACGGCGAGGCACAGGACGGCGATCTTGTTGTTGTTGCCGATCATGGTGTTACGTTGAGTGATGTTGGTTGGGTAGTTGATAGGAAGACGTTGTGGTGCTCGATTTAACGAGAGAAAGAGAGAGCAGAGAGGATGGTCTCTTGTGGCTTGGTAGTTGACTCGAGAGAGAAGAACGAGGAATGAGCTCGGAGGAGCAGGCAGGCCGACAGCCTCTTGCGCGTGCTACATTGGCTCCGCTACGCTGCAATATCGAAAGCCGGTCACAAGGCATTGCAATCACAGCAGCCTGCGCTCGTGTGAGGGTCATGATGACCACCACCACCACCATCAAAAACAGCAGCAGGCAGCACCCTTCATTCGAGCAGGTGTAGATCTTCCAAAGCTTGAAGTGGGCTCGACTCGAGGTGCACTCGACTTGAGGTGCGGAGGCCCAGATGGATACGCATCTATCTATCTTCTTTCGCGCAAGGCTCGAGGCGATGAATTCATGTGTGTTGACCATATATATCGAGAACGAGCCGCCAGGCCAGATGGCTGGCGGCAAACTAGTATTGCATTGCGCTGCTGCGACGGCGGCTGAGACCGTTCACACATACACAGTCAAGAGGCCAGGCTACTCCAGCAGCAGTGCGGGCGTGCCTCCTTATTGTGAGCGAGGCAAGTACGCTCGCTGAAGTTGCTCGGCCCTCGACTTTTCATGCATTGATTGCCGGCCAATCGTCGTGCAGACTTCAACTTCAACTTCGTCCATACATTCTCCAGTATTGTTTGGGTGTGAGACGGGTCGGGCAGCATTGCTGTTGGTTTGGCAGCAGACTACATGTATACATGATCCCTATAGTGCTGTTGCGCTCGTTGTTGAGGATGCCTGCAACCACCATAATTGCACTGTGTTGCGGGTTGGCCGCTGCGCCGGGCCCAGCTCATTACCAGGCGGTTAATCGCAGCCACCAACTGGATCGGCACGCCATATGAAGCTCTGAACGTCATGACCGACGGATCTTGCAGACGCACGATGCTCGCCGCGCGTACGCGCTTGGGCGCACCATGATAAGGCTCCTTAGTGACCCATGGCCGAAAGGCGTCTTCAACCGACCGGCTCCGCTCGTTATATGTGCGCGCGCGTAAGTGGAGCGGGGTCTGCCACCTCCCAGCAATCGCATACGCGTTGACACACACGAGCCGAATGACAAACGCTTGGTAGTCAAACGATACGTAGATTTACTTAACAATAAAACATGGGTAACGCTACGGGTTTGCGCGGATCAAGCGCAGCGAGTGCACATACGGCCTTGATCACGCGAAACAGTCAATAACACGGTACATCGATCTTCTTCAGACTGGAGGCGGCTGGTGGCCCACCAGTGGTGGGTCGGCCGATCGATTGATCGATCGATCGATCGATCGACCGGTTGGTGGGTGTGCCGACGCAACTTACTCCGAGCGCAGCTTGCGGTACTGGGTCGCCGCACCAGCATTCGCCCTGGCGCTTGCGCTCGCACTCGCGGAGGCGCCAGCACCAGCGTTCGCTGCACCAGCAGCACCAGCGTTGCCCACGGCGCCGCCATTGTAGCCATTGTAGACGCCAACGTTGTTGTAGCCATTGTAGCCATTGTAGCCGACGCCCACGCCACCCACACCGACGCCTACACCGCCGAGCCCGACGCCCACACCACCGACGCCGACGCCAACGCCACCCAGGCCCACACCAACGCCGTGTCCGTAGTATCCGGCAGGGTAGCCGTAGAGGCCAACGCCGAGATGTCCAAACGTCTGGGCAGCTTGTTGCTCCGCGTGCACGCCGCTCGAGAGTGCCGCGACGGCGAGGCACAGGACGGCGATCTTGTTGTTGTTGCCGATCATGGTGTTACGTTGAGTGATGTTGGTTGGGTAGTTGATAGGAAGACGTAGTGGAGCTCGATTTAACGAGAGAAAGAGAGAGAGGAGAGGATGGTCTCTTGTGGCTTGGTAGTTGACTCGAGAGAGAAGAACGAGGAATGAACTCGGAGGAGCAGGCAGGCCGACAGCCTCTTGCGCGTGCTACATTGGCTCCGCTACGCTGCAATATCGAAAGCCGGTCACAAGGCATTGCAATCACAGCAGCCTGCGCTCGTGTGAGGGTCATGATGACCACCACCACCACCATCAAAAACAGCAGCAGGCAGCACCCTTCATT